CAGGAGGCACAAGAGTAGCACTCTCAAGCGTCCTAAGGCTTAGACAGTATAGTCATCGCGCTGGAGTCAGAACCAAGTGCCTGCAAAATTCTTCTAATGACCAAGCATGTAAAACTGTAAGTAGAGGATTCAGTTCTCATTGATACATAGTGAAAACAGAAAGTAAACAGAAGTTCTCCCGTCAAGAATATACTCAATAGTGCAATGTATGCAATTATAAATACACAATCTGCTTTCCTTTTTTTTGAGAATCCTGCAAAATAAACTTTTATCAGAATTCTTATGTTTATAGCTTTCAAACAAAAATATTCTCAAATCATAGCAAAAGCTATAAACAGAGTAATGAACAGGTTCTTGGATTTCTGGTAATCCAATTAATGAAAGGGAGTGAATCACAGAGTGAATTATAAGAACATTAGAAAAGTAGTTAAATTTCCTGCTGATTCAGCACAAAGGATTGATATCAGTGAAGAAAACATAAATCTCACACTATGCCACTAAAGATCATTGACGACAATCAAATCAACTCAAAGAACATTTGATATCAGTCACCACACAAGAAAACTTGAAAAGCCCTGAAATTTTACAGCTTTTTATGCAAAGACACTTTGATAGAGGTTTCCCCAAATCAGACAACAATTCTAAAAATGTACCCAATATGTTGTGAAAGAAGCTCTTTTAAACTTTCAATAATAAAAAATTAATTTTGATGCACCATGCTGTTCTCTCTACAAAAATGCTATTGCTGAATTATTGTAATATGAAGAAGAGATCACAAAGAATGCAGCAAAACCTGTGTGGAAAAATATAGAAACGTACCACGGAGTTCATATAATATGTTATTTTTATGGATTTTATAATGTTTATAGTATTTGTCAGCTCTTAAAAATGTGTAAATTGTTGTACTTTCTTTTCTCATTTAAAATTTCTACTTTTGTTTCCCTTTTTTTTTCCTTAAAAAGGACCCTCAAAACTGAATAAGCTTCAAGTCCACAAAACTAAGATCTGCCCTTGACAAGACACTCATCTTCCTCAATTCCCAACCTCCACCCTGGATTAACCCCATCTAATACATGTAGAAGGAACCACAGAATCAGAAAACCATCCTTCACAATGCCCCTGGAAATCACCAATGCAGACAAGGACCACCATCGATATTTACTAATCCCTTATAAGGTGAATGGTTATTGGAAACAAGCTATCTGCATGACGTCCAAATACTACGCCATAGATTGCTCGCCAAATGCAAAGGAACAGATGTACCCTTACAGTAGAGACTACCTTAGTCAAGTAATTAAACTTAGAATTTCTAAGGGAGGGACAGTCTGGCATTATGTCCTTCCTGATGTGATGCAATGTGGAGCGTACAGCATCTATGAAGTATTCTTGCCAAAAAAACCAGTTTAATCTGAATGTAATTAAGCCTTTAGACCTCACTTCCAGTTTACAGAAATGCAGAGTCAAGAGGGACAAGTTAAATAACCCTATAAGGAAACAAGCAGAGAAATCGAGAACATGGGACAGTCTACATAACAAGAGTCTCTTCACAGTTTTTCCATGACATTTATTTTTCACTGTCGCGGAAAGATAAAAAGGTAGAAGGACTGCCTTAGAGTAAAAGGAAACAAAGAAATATAATGATCAAATGCACTGTGTGAACCTTGACTGTATCCTGGTCCTCTCTCATCCCTCCTCCCCAAAATACCAGTTACAAAAGACATTTGGAAAACTGAGGAAATCTTAACATGGACCAATTACTAGACAACACTGGGGATTTACTGTTAATTTTCTCTGTATGACAGCAGTAATGTGGTTATGTAAAAGAATATCTGTATTTCTAGGAGATGCACACTGAAGCTTTTAGGGGTAAAGTTATCATGAAGTTTGAACTTACTTTCAAATGATTCAGCAACGTTTCTTTACGTTTGAAAATTTTTACAATTAAAAAATTGGTAAAAGTGAAAAATACACTAAATCTATTTTTCTCTCATTTAGTCAATCTCATCAAGAAGTTTTTAGTAAGGTCAAAGTAATTACTCTCCTCAGACATTAGTAATAAAGCAGCATGCAAAGCTGAGGGGCTAACGTTCTCAGAACCGCTGTATTGCACTCAAGAATCTCCTAGGACCCAAGTGCCGTTGTCGTCTGCTTAATTTGTGTTCAAGAGTAGCTCACAGGAATTTTTAGACTGCTGTCATTCAGGATGAAAAAGTCAAGTAGGAACAAGGGGCAGGAGATAGAGAGAACTCAAGCAAACAAAATTAAATAAAAGCTGATTTATTTTATTCATTTTAGGAAGAAAAAGAAATCACACATTCAGGACATTATACACTTCCAATGATTTATCTCATAATAAAAATAATGAGTTAAGTACTTGATCGTTTATAAAGCATCTTCACATGGATTACATTTTGAGTCCTTAACATTGACATGAAACAGAGAAGGTAAGTAATATTCCCATTTTACGGATAAGGAAAATGAGGCTCAGAGAGGCTGTGTGATTTGCCTGAGGGCCTACAGGTAGCATGAGCCCAGGTCACTTTCCCACGTGACCACTGTCCTCTAGCGTGGTCATCGAGTGGCTGTCTTACTCTGGGTAACGTTCATTTCTCTGAGCTTCAGTTTTGGGACTAAATAGCCTCAGGCTCATATGAGAATCTGCAGAGGTTCATAATTCAGGGTAGAAAAACACTTGACATCAGATCCCCCTTCCTTCCATGAAGAGAAGAGCCCAGTCTATGAGGAGGTGGCCTCCCGAAGTAGCCTGCGCACATCCTTCCTGTGCCACCTTAGGTGCAGGGACACTTCTTCAAATCCAATCACCTTCCAGGGTCCCAGGACATGCAGGGAAATGACAAACCCATGCAAGGCAAAGCAATCACTGAAACAAAGTGCACACGAGTACCGTGCAAAGTAAAAGGAGCAGCAAATAAGTGTGATTACTTTACTCTGCGGGTCAAGTCCACACCCCTCACAATGCCTAACGGCTGGCTGTTTGGAGTGGCTTCCCTCCATAAAACTCCGTAACTAGGGGAAATTGCTAATTCCATGGCTTTCATAAAACACAGAGGTCCACCAAATGTTTGCTTGGCAGACATTTTTTTCTCCCAAAGGGCAGCTCATTAAGTCTGACAATAAAGCAGGCTTTGTTCTAAAGATTTACAGTGTTTTCCCAATGAAAATTCTAATTGACAACCACCAGGAGAATAACAATGCAGAGCAAAGAGAGCTCCGGTTTCTCCCATTCTTCCAAGATCCATCTCAAAGAGGCACTCACTTCTTAGGTTTCCTGGACCAGTGTTTCACTGGGTCTTTATTTGGACACATGCATAAGTAGATGGTTGGATATTAGAAGTTTATCATTCAAAGCACTCAAATCTTAAAAACCAAGAGATTTATTCTTTCAAAGATAAGAAACTTTATTTAATTTGTAGGTCCCTCCAGGCAGAATAAGTATATTACATAAAAATGCAACCATGCCTTTGCCATGTAAAGGGGGGCACCCTACAAAAAATAAAATGCTTGATGAAAGTCTTCAGAAGTAGTTGCATGAGAATATTAAAGGCACTGCTATTCAATGGACTCATTATAGGATAAAAGTTCAAGTACCAGAGGGAGTGATTTTCATATGAATGTTGGGTGTTGCCAGCACACACAAGCGTCCCTCATCTACACAGAGGACCAAGTCAGGGAGCTGTGAGTGACAAGGTATAGAGAGGGCTGTTCAGATAAGGGACAGACATTACTGGACCCTTTTTCAAAGAAAACTTTGAAGATTTTGTTAGGCTTTCTTCGTGGAACTGTCACAAGATAACAATACATTTGCAAATGAGTGGTGTTCAGTGGCCACATGAGTGCCTTTTAGAGACCAGCTGGCAATGGCTGCCCATGATGGGAAATTAGCATCAAAGAAGGCCTCAAGGTTACTGGGTTGACATACAGCCCAAGGAGAATATTCGCAAATGAAGTACGACACCCAACACAGTCACCCAAACCAAAAGTGAAATAAAAACTCCTGTCTGAAAAGAACAGCAGCAAAAAAAATCCTCCTTACTTCTTCCTGAATCTTCCTGAATATCCTTCTTCTCCAAACGGTGTCCAGGTCCCCACAGTAAAAATAACAAATCATGTGCTTCCAGTTGCATTATAAGATTATGAGAAGTGAAGCTGGCAGAAGTGGGAAGATAACACAACTCACCTTCCTTTTTCTAAACAGAAAACAGAGAAAGGAACCAAAGTAGGAAAGCACAGCAGCCCAGGCAGGAGCACCAGACCAAGAGTCAGGAGGCCCAAATCCTTACTAGTCTAGCATCTATCACGAGAGCTATTTTGGTCAGTCCCCTAACCTCCTGAATTGTTGTCCTCATCTGTAAAGGAAAGGAGTTATCTAGATAAGTGGTTCTCACACTGTGTTCCTTGGGGCCCTAGGGTTCTGTGGGGGTGCCTCTAAGGCAACCACAGTGAAATGGAGCTAAGGCGAAAGGAATGGGGTCCCATGCTTCCTCTCAACCCAAAACAGTTCAGACTCAATCCACTTTGTATATCGAGGTTGTGAGTAAAGAGTTTTTGTTTAAAGAGTTCTACTACCAAGATAATTCACGGCTAAATTTAAAGCCTTGGACCAATATACCTTGTGATTTTTTATCTTAATAATTAAGCGGTTTCCATGTGCCTCTTTGGATTGTTGTTATCAGAATTAATTAATTGATAAGCTGGTTAATATTGATCCTCAAATCTGTATGTCAGGTTCTCTTATTTCTACTTGAAAGGTGAGGAACTGAAACTCAGATAAGACAAGTACATCAAAATCACACAAATATGTAGCTGACAGGATTCAAACTCAGGAACATCTGACACTAAAACCATTAAGCTCGGTTCTGTGCTTATAGTTAAAGAATAAACTTCACTGTAAAAAACAATTGGCTACCTCGTTATTATTGCAATCTTTCTCCACGGAACATCAGGTTCTTCATTTGTATTCCCTGAGAGTAAACACTTACCCTGGCGAGATGAAATGAATAGCCACAAGTTCTGCCCAACAAGCAAATTTGTTGGGTACAGGAAAGCCCAAAACGTTGACAAAGCCTCCAGGGCAATAATGGTTGTTAAGAACTTTCAAAGCAAACAAAACTCCTAGAAGAGAATAAAGAGCGTACAAATGTCAACAACCCAAATGTGGAGATAATCAACATTTGCAAAGAAAACTAATTGAAAGTGAAAATGATTCTTTGACCACATCCAAGTTTTTGCTTTGAAACATACTCTATTCCTTACAACAAGTCAACCCAGCATTCGGTACAAAAACAATGTTCAAGCCAAACATTCCTTTGATGTTTCTTAACACAGAAGTTCAAACTGACTTTTATGCTATTAAATATATAACATATAACATGGGAATAAAACACCAGCAATGGTAGTAAATGCCACTGAATTGGACACTTCAGAATTGTTAATTTTATGCTATATGGTTTTTAACTCAATAAAATAAATACCAGTACTGTGTATTTTTCTACCCTCTATGGAAATACATGTTGAAGACAGGGCATATTTCCTTTCTTCTCCCATGATCATATGTATGAGGATGCATTTTACAGGGATGACAGGGAAAGTTGAGGAAAGGGTTAGATTTCCTTCTATTTCAGGACTATTTCCCTCATCCTCTTCACATTCTAATTTTTCAAACACCTAGTTTAAGTCCTGATGGCAATTTCAGTCCTATGAGACATATGTAAAAAAGAACTAGTGATGGGGAACAGTGAGAGACAATGCAACACGTGGTTAAAGTTATATAGACTGGGCACAAGGCCCAGCTCGACCACTTACTCGATGTGTAACCTTCAGTAAGTTGCCTTACCTCTTTGAGTCTTAGCTTCCTCATCATCTACAAAATCAAGACAATGTCCCCTCCCTACGGACCTGTTATATGAATTAAATAGCATGAGCTATGTAGAATGATGATCACAGCTCCTAAAACATGGTGAGCATGCCACAGGAGGGTGTGGTGCATTTATTTTAATGAAGTTATTGACAGGCATACTCATCTTGTTAGAGAATTCCCCATCACAAATACACCTGTGGGTCTCTCTGCAGCCCTACCATGATGGAGCTTGTGCATCTTTCCCAGTACTACATCTCCTACAAAACTACCTTTGAGCAGACCCTAGTCTAAACTGTCCAAGGGTGAATGATGCTCCATAATGTGGAACAGCAAAATTTACGTCCCCCCTGTACTCCAATCGGCCTCCTCTCCAAAATCCAAGCCCCAGCAGCCCTTAACCACTCAGAATTCGGTTCCCTCACCAACTAGGGACCCATTCTTCATAAGATGACAGTGGCTACACCTCCATTACTGTCTTCAGCATGCCGCCTTACCTGAGAAACCTACAGCACAGTTCCTTCTGAAGTCAGGTTCATCCATAAATTCTGCAAGAGCAAATTCCAAGAACAGGTACACCACCCCAGTGAGTAGGGAGAATGTGATGATGATGTAGGCAAACCATTTACTTCCTAGTCTTCTTTCCAGATTTATTCCTTTCCATAGCATGGATGCCATATTGAAATACAAATGCCAGTCGTCTGCATGGTGGAACGGGGAGAGCAGTAAGCGCTGCCAGTCTTTTTGCTGGTAACACTTCTCCACGCTAAGGCAGGAGTTATACAGCGACTTCAGAGGATTCAAGAAGAGCCAGATGTTGAGAGCCAAAGTTGCTAGGGTGACAGGTGGAATATTGTTGATCCCAACATGGAAGATTTGAGAAAGGAGCAGAATAAGCCCAGTATTAATTCCTCTTGATCTCCGCTGCATGGTTAGATATCAACCCAGTGAGAGGAAAACGTGGTCAGGTTTTAGGAATCTAGGGAGGTTTACAGACTGCTGAACCTAAAACATAAAATAAAATGCACATGAAACTCCAGCAATTAAGATTAAATTAACACAGTGATAAGACACACTCACTTAAAGATGAGTTTACATTATGTATATCCCACCTCCTCTAACAGAAACACTTATTTTCAGTGTCTTTTAAGATCCAGGACACGGGCTGACATCCTTCCTTAATTTTACATTCTAAAACAGAAATTTTATTCCAAATCCCAATGAACCAGTTAATGGATGGGTATGCTTTCTCTGACAAATATGCCATGAAAATATGACTCGTCTTCCTTATAAACAAACTTGTAACCTAATAAAAAACTTACAAAGATAGTGTGCAAATATGTAATAATGATTTCTACTCAGACTACTGGTCAGGATTCTCTATCCCCTTCATTTTTTTAAAGAAATATTTGATTTTGATATATTAAATAGTCTGCTTCAAAGTTTTTAAACATCAACAAGCAAGTTTTAAAATGCAAGTATATATTATCTTCTCTTCCACGTTGCCAGATATCAAATGCTGGAATGCTTTACTTTAACAAAAACTTCAGCTTTTATAAGATATCTACTATGTGCCAAATCCTGGATTGAAACGCAGTCTGTGTTTAAGGAGCTCACTTTCTAGTAAGAAGTAAACCAACAACTGCCACACAATATACTAAATGCAGTGACAGAGGCACACAATTCAGCCTCAGGGGGTAATATGACTATGATCTTAAAGGGTGAAATTGGAGTTAGAGACAAAGAAGAGTTCCAGGTTCAGCAGTCTGCTTCTCCACGCCCTGAGGCTCAGCTGGCCCTGTGGCTTGCTTTGGCTGAAAAATGCAGAGGAAGGCACGCTATAGGAGTTTTGAATCTAGGCCTCAAGATGATTTGCAGTCTTTTGCTCTCTCTTAAAACCTTCCCAAGCAACCATGTGCACAAGTCCTGGCCAGCCTACCGGATGAAAGACACATGCTCCAGTCATACTGATGGTCCTGGCCACTGGCTGGCTAATGCCCCAGAAGCAAAGCTGTCTAACTCACCAGCAGCTCACAGATGCATGAGTGAGTCCAGCTGAGCCCAGCCTAATTTGTTGACCCATAGAACAGTGAGCTAAATAAATGATACTTTACTTCACCAAGTTTTGGAGTGTTTTGTTACGCAGCAATTGCTAACCAATACAGAAAGCATGTGCTTTGGTGAGGGACTGGTTTATGCTCATGGGAAGGTGCTAGTAAAGAAAGAGAGGGAGAAAAAGCCAGAGAGTAAAGATGCAAGCTATAAACAAAAAGAATGACGTCCTTAGAGGGAAGAGCCTTTCCATCATAACGTGAAGGAAGAAAAATGTCAGGTGCAGATATGGATAAGCAGGCAGATTGCGGGACAGGACGCTGAAAAAGTGTACATCTAGTGGTTCTGTCTCCTCTGTGGTGCTGTCATGGCTCCCATCCAAACAGGTAACTCACTCTGATACCCTAAACCTTCTCATTCAGACAGCACATTTGAAAGTACGTGGGCTTTGGAGTAAAAAAGGGCAGAATTTTCCTACTTACCAGTCCTGTGATCTAGGCAAATTACTTAAACTGTCTGAAATTCAACTTCTTCACTTTAAATTAGGAATAATACCTCCTTCCCAGGATTACTGTAACATGTCTGAAATAAAGGAGATGCTGAATAAATGGTAGCTACTTTTTTCATAACTATTAGGTAATCTCACTTATCTGAAAAATCCTTCGCAAATGGTAGCATCTTAATAGGGCTCAAAGGTACTCCTCATCCTCCCATATGGATTCTGATCAACATCACACCCAGAAGAAAGGGTCAAGAAAGAATTATACATACATATATGGGTGTCTGTATATATTTCCTCACTATTAGCACAAACAAGTTTCTATATTGCCGTGGGCTTATTATTGCAGCTCTGTAGCATTCTCAGAAACTAGAGAATTTAATGAAATTTCAACTGAAAAGCTCCCAAGTAATTTTGGAAAAATGGTCTCTCTTTTTCACATTGCCGTTCAAGTCAGTTTTCAATTCTCCAACTACTATGACTTTCTTGCAATTCTCTTAAATAATCATGTATAGCAAACATGATTGCCTATAATAGGAGCAAAAGAATAATCAGTTTACATGAAATCACAAACTAAACCCTTCAGTATCAGTACAGTGTCCTAGGACGCCAGGCCATGCACAGCAGAAAATCAAAACTAACTACGCCTTTGCTTAAGAAAACGTTCCCCCTCGATTGGAATCATTAGTGATGAAGAGTATAAACAAAAGGATAGCGGAATTTCCCCAGTCTAAGTTCACACTGTGTACCCTGGCTCATATTGCACTTCCTTGACTTCTGTCCAAACCCAAAGGTCCCTTTCCATTTGCCTGCCTGCTCTCACCTCTCAGCTCTCTCTCCCACTGCTGACTGCTCTGCTTCGCTGGGACACGGTGCTGTCCTGTGGCTTCACCCCCTCCTTCAATCTCCTTTCCTCTGCTTTTCACTTTTCATCTATCCTTACGCTCTTTTTCACTTACTCATGGAATTCCACCCTCACGGTCTCCATAATTCTTCTCATCAGGATGATTCCCAAATTTATGTTGTTCAGCCTTGATTTCTCAGTAGCCTTCAGGGACATAATCTTATAGGAAGAACAGAGTCTGCCTGACCTCTTGGCTTCTGAAGACTGAATTGTCCCTCATCTCACAGACTGACTATTCAGCCATTCCTTCTTTCACTTGTTTATTTAACAAATATCAAGTGCCAAATGCATGCCAGTCCCTGTGCCAGGCTTTAGAGATAAATCAAAGAACAAAACACTTACAATCCCAGCCCCTAAATGGCTCATTTCTATTTATTGATGGAAATAATAATATTGGCTACAGAAAGTCAAAAGATGAATAAAATGACGTGGCTCAAATTCTCAACAAATGTATACTTAATGCGAAGGCAGATATAACCATGGCCAACGTGAGAAGTGCAGAATCTCTGTTGTTCTTCACTTTTGCAAACAAAGGCCACTGGTGCACAGATGTAGGTAGAACATAAGTTTTGAGTCTTAAGTAGCAAAGACAAATGGGCACTATTTCATACCAACTCTAGCCCAGTTTCCTTCCTACTAAGTTATCAAGTCAGCCACTCAAGGTGAGGGATGCAGTCTGTAGCAATGTAACTTAAAAAATCCACCTGGTCCATGTGAACATCAGCTTTGTAATTTGACCTTGTGGGCCAGGCAGGCACAGCGCTAGGAACACCAAAGAGAACACAATAAGCAAGCAGTGACTATAAGATGAATATTGTTTTGTCCTGCCCACCAAATACACAGAAACTTTTAGACTGCTGAGCTGTAAGAGAGACCACAGAAGTATGATCAATTATGGCTACTTCTCCATGAACTGAAAATCAGTATAACATGTTTGGTTTTGGAAGTGATTTATTTACTCTAACTTGTAACCAGACTAGAAAGCAGTTATCACAGCTCAAAGAAGAACAGGCTAGTCCCTGCACTCCTCCGCCTCATAAACACATCCTACCCCCACTCAGCATGCCCCACACTGAACGCTGGACTGTCCCTTCTAGTTCTGCTCCTCCTCTTATGTTCCCCCTCTCAGGACACGGAATCTCCAGCTACCCAGCTGTTCAAGTCAGAGATGCAGAAAACGTCCTTGACACGTCCTTCACCCTTGTCACCCCACTAGACCAAAATCCCACCCATCAGGTTTTGTTAATTCTTTTTCCAGTTTGTTATCAGTCTTCTTCTTTCTAGCTCTAGGGCCACTACTCTGGCCTCAGCCACCATCATAACTTACCTTGATTACAACAAACTCCCTAACTGGATTCTCTCTTCTCCTCTTATACCCACCAACCACTGTCCACCGCTGCTTAGGTTAATCTTTATAAAAGTGAAGTTGGATTCCCTTGCAGTAAGCCTTCAATGGCTTATCATTACAGCTGGAGTAAAGTCCAAAAACCCTTTACCATAACTAAATGCTTGCAATTACCAGTGCCCTGTCCACCTCTCTGGTCTCACCTCACATTGGTCTCTGCCGTGGTCACTATGGTCCAGCCACACAGGTGCTCCCACATTACAAGCTCCATGATAACAGCATAAATGGCTGAGGGCAGAATTACCTTGTCCATTTTGCTCACCACTGAACACCCAGAGCCTAGCACAGCGACTGACTTATAGCAAGTACTTAAGAAGTATTTTCCCAGTGACTCAAGATGAGTGTTTTTTAATGTATCTACATTATACAATAAATGGGATTGACTGAAAAGCTCTGAATACCTACAATATGTTCATCTCTAAGTAACTGTCCTGCAACCGTAACAACCTTCCCCATAGCAATATACATATTATTCCACTTACCATTTTTAGTTCTAGAACACTGTTTATACCATTTATCTCAACTTTACAGAAATAAACCTCTGATCCATTTAGATTGTATTAATAGGTTGCGTTGCCAGAACTATTTGCAAAAGAAAATGGCATTTTAATTATGTAGTAATACACACCAGACAGCACTATATCAAGGTTCTGACAGAGAAAAATGGAAGACTTTTTGAAATATTGATAGGAAAATTAGCCATATTTACTTTTAATGAGAAATTAAAAATTAAACAGGTATGTAATAAGAAAAACTAAGTGGCTAGAAAAACAAAAGAAACTGAACTCATAACTTGGGAAACCAAAGTGTCTCATGGGGGAGAGAATGGAGTTTTATAATAAGGGAGAAGAAACTAATTACAATGATTTTCATTTCTACTTACAAAGCAGAAAATACTTCATCATTATCATTTACCACAGAGGTATATATCTCAATTTTCAGTTTAAATGTTCAAGAAGAATTCAGACCATTACATTGCAAGAATATACACCAGTTATAAATTATATTCCCAATTTGGAATCTGATAGTAACCAAATTGATTTCACAAGAAAGAAAGAAACTACAATCGTAATGGGAGTAATCGCATGCTATTCTGAAAACAGTCTTCCATGTCATTAAAAGTGCAAGAAATCTTAAAATTATTCACTGAGATCATTTTAAATTGTGAGGTTTTTCTTTAAGACTCAAGAAGAAGTTTATTGCTACATATTTGAGGGAGATTAATGCCATGTCATTGCTACTGTTTTCATGCCTTTGCTAAATTTCTTTTAGCAGTTCTATATATATTAAGTATATTCTCTAAAAATATCATAGGAGAGAATGTAGGTTTATTCAAGTCATCTGGCAAGTATTTATCAAAGGCCTACTATCAGTCAGGTTCAGTACTTTGCTGATGCCTGACTTTCCAGATGCTTAAGCTTTGGTTTTTTGAAATGGAGATATAATTCACAAACATAAAATTCACTCTCATAAAGTGTACAATTTAGTAGTTTTTAGAATATTCACAAGGTTGTTAAATCATCACCACTATCTAATTCCAGAACATTTTCATTACCCCAAAATGAAACCCTGTACCAATTAGCAGTCACTCTCTGATCTCCCCTCCCTCCAGTGCCTGGCAGTCACTAATGTATTCTCTATCTCTTTAGATTTGCCTATTCTGAACACTTCATACAAATGGAGTCATACAATATGTAGCCTGTCGTGTCTGGCTTCTTTCACTTAGAATAATGATGTCAAGGTTCATCTATGTTGTAGCAAGTATCAACACTTAGCTCCTTTTTATGGCTGAATAATAATTCATTGTATAGATATATCACATTGTGCTAATCAATTCATCAGCTGCTGGACATTCTGGCTATTACCCCTTTTTGGCTATAATGAATAACGCTACTATGAACATTCAGGGGCAATGTTTTTTTTTGTAGGAACATACGTTTTCAGTTCTCTAGGGCATATACCTAGGAGTAAAACTGCTGGGTCACATGGTAACTCTATGTTTAACTTTTTGAGGAACTGCCAGACTGTCTTCCAAATTTCTGCACCATTTTACATTCCCTCCAGCAGTGTATGAGGGTTCCAATTTCTCCACATCCTCAACAACACTTGTTTTTATCCATCTTTTTTACTATAGCCATCCTAGTGGATGTGAAGGTGTACCGATCTACATTTCCCTAATGACTAACGATGTTGAACAAATGCTTAAATTTTCATTGCTTAAAACGTAATATTAACACATATTCACAGGTACACTAACCACACAGACAAACACACATACACTCCCACTCTCTCTTTACAAGAAATCATTTAACAAGCTCAGGTCAAAAGAAAGCTTCAGGAAAAAAGTCAAAGCCACAAAGAGATCATCCTGGTTAAACTGAAAGGATTTTAGCCTCACCGTGCCCTGCAATGTGATGTGCTGAAAGTGAATGCCAATGTAGCTCAACAGCAGGGGCAGCGGCTCAGGCCAACACATTTGACTATAAATACAGTAAAATCATTTTGAAAGAAATAGAGGGTTAGTACGCTTTATTGCTTCAAACAAAGCAAAACTGCTATGGGAACATCTGATTGTTTAAGCTAAACATAAAAACCTCCTCTGCTTTGTAAATTATAAGAGTTGGACAACAAATTAGTGCTTCATAAATACCATACTAACTTGGTCAAAACATACACAAGATACTAGATGCATTTTTTTCTCTCTGATTCTGTTTCAGTACAGTCTACTTTTTCTAGGAACGAACTGAACTGGACCATTTCTTCTCTCCTGTAAG